ACTATATAGAATAGTAGGCATGTAGGATTAGACAATAAGCTTGTAAACTATATAGAATAGTAGGCATGTAGGATTAGACAATAAGCTTGTAAACTATATAGAATAGTAGGCATGTAGGATTAGACAATAAGCTTGTAAACTATATAGAATAGTAGACATGTAGGATTAGACAATAAGCTTGTAAACTATATAGAATAGTAGGCATGCAGGATTAGACAATAAGCTTGTAAACTATATAGAATAGTAGGCATGTAGGATTAGACAATAAGCTTGTAAACTATATAGAATAGTAGGCATGTAGGATTAGACAATAAGCTTGTAAACTATATAGAATAGTAGGCATGTAGGATTAGACAATAAGCTTGTAAACTATATAGAATAGTAGGCATGTAGGATTAGACAATAAGCTTGTAAACTATATAGAATAGTAGGCATGTAGGATTAGACAATAAGCTTGTAAACTATATAGAATAGTAGGCATGTAGGATTAGACAATAAGCTTGTAAACTATATAAAATAGTAGGCATGTAGGATTACACAATAAGCTTGTAAACTATATAGAATAGTAGGCATGTAGGATTAGACAATAAGCTTGTAAACTATATAGAATAGTAGGCTTTTACAATTGGATACAAAGCTTGTATGTTATATAGAATAGTAGGCATGTAGGATTAGACAATAAGCTTGTAAACTATGTAGAATAGTAGGCTTTTACAATTAGATACAAAGCTTGTATGTTATATAGAATAGTAGACATGTAGGATTGGACAATAAGCTTGTAAACTATATAGAATAGTAGGCTTTTACAATTGGATACAAAGCTTGTATGTTATATAGAATAGTAGGCATGTAGGATTAGACAATAAGCTTGTAAACTATATAGAATAGTAGGCTTTTTACAATTAGATACAAAGCTTGTATGTTATATAGAATAGTAGGCATGTAGGATTAGACAATAAGCTTGTAAACTATATGGAGTAGTAGGCTTTTATAATTGGATACAAAGCTTGTATGTTATATAGAATAGTTGACATGTAGGATTGGACAATAAGCTTGTAAACTATATAGAATTGTAGGCTTTTTACAATTGGATATAAAGCTTGTATGTTATATAGAATAGTAGACATGTAGGATTGGACAATAAGCTTGTAAACTATATGGAATAGTAGGCTTTTACAATTAGATACAAAGCTTGTATGTTATATAGAATAGTAGACATGTAGGATTGGACAATAAGCTTGTAAACTATATGGAATAGTAGGCTTTTACAATTGGATACAAAGCTTGTATGTTATATAGAATAGTAGACATGTAGGATTGGATACAAAGCTTGTATGTTATATAGAATAGTAGACATGTAAGATTGGACAATAAGCTTGTAAACTATATGGAATAGTAGGCTTTTACAATTAGATACAAAGCTTGTATGTTATATAGAATAGTAGACATGTAGGATTGGATACAAAGCTTGCATGTTATATAGAATAGTAGGCATGTAGGATTGGACAATAAGCTTGTAAACTATATAGAATAGTAGGCTTTTACAATTAGATACAAAGCTTGTATGTTATATAGAATAGTAGACATGTAGGATTGGATACAAAGCTTGTATGTAATATAGAATAGTAGGCATGTAGGATTAGACAATAAGCTTGTAAACTATATAGAATAGTAGGCTTTTATAGTTAGATACAAAGCTTGTATGTTATATAGAATAGTAGGCATGTAGGATTAGACAATAAGCTTGTAAACTATGTAGAATAGTAGGCTTTTACAATTGGATACAAAGCTTGTATGTTATATAGAATAGTAGACATGTAGGATTAGACAATAAGCTTGTAAACTATATAGAATAGTAGGCTTTTACAATTGGATACAAAGCTTGTATGTTATATAGAATAGTAGACATGTAGGATTAGACAATAAGCTTGTAAACTATATAGAATAGTAGGCTTTTACAATTGGATACAAAGCTTGTATGTTATATAGAATAGTAGGCATGTAGGATTAGACAATAAGCTTGTAA